TGATGCTGCCAATTGGTCCAGTGGCGAGAATCTTTGTCTTCTTGACATTGAGCCTTAGTCCATACTGAAGGCTGCAGTCCTTGACCCTTCGCAGCAAGGGTCACTGTTCCATAGTCTTGTCAAATACCATAATGGTTACCCATTGTGTACAGTGTTTAGCTGGGCTTCCAAATTGATTTAGGCGGGAAGCGGGAGTGACATCCACTTCCTAAACTAGATTCCTCTGGAAACTCTACAGACTCTCTAAACGCTATAAATGTACAGAAATTATGTTAGTTATAGAACAGAATTCTGCACAGAAATTATGTTGGTTATAGAACAGAGTTCAGGCCTTTGTGCAAAACTTACTGTCAGTTGTATTTGACTTGACAACACTTAACCATGCTAAATGAAACTAGTGCTGTTATATCTGGAGGAGCACTCTTTTGCTTTGTACATCAATCTTTGTCAGTGTGCAATATGAAGTAACCTGGGTTGCAGTGATGCTGAAGCTTGTACCATTGGGGTATCAAATACCAGAACGGTTTACCAATGTGGACAGTGTTTGGTGGAGCGCCCATTTGTAAAACATGTTTGGAATCAGGAGTGGCATCCACTTTCTAAACCACATGCCTCTGGAAACTCTGAACTTGGAGAAATGACGATAGTTATGGAAAGACAGCAGATCTTTTGTTAATAGAGTCACTGTGAGTCATGCTTGACTTGATGGCAATCAACAACAATGACAATTGTTGCTAATATAATTCCTTTGAAATTTACCAGCTAAAGTTTGAGCTACTTTTTAAGTAATTATGATTCATCTTAGTTGGTGGAAAATTCACCAGTAGGTTTGTAATTTGAAATTTTAATTTCTTCATTTTTTTCTTTGTCAAAGCTTTTAGAGGATTTAATGCTACTCTTCGACTGTCTGTCAGTTTGGTATGCTGAAAGCCCTGAATGGGTAAAACTCTCTCAAATTCAGATCCAGTTGCTTCTAGGATTCATTGAAAAGGGTAATTTACAGGTTTGTCAGTTATTTTACATTATTTTCTGTACTTTCACTCAGTGTATGTATTTTTTTGTGTGATAAATAGATGATAATGCCTTTTTAGTCTTTTAATTATTTCATTAATTAAGACAGTGAACACTATAAAGGATTAGGGGAAGAGAGTATTAACCTGGAAAAAATGGGCAAACAAAACAGTGTGGTAATTGCAGTTAGGAACAGGACATGTATAACTTCACATTGGAGGGAGCGAAGGGGAGAAGGAGAAAGGGAGATGAGGGAAAAATATTGGGGCAGTAGAATTTAGTAGATGGGGTATGGGGTAAAGAAATAAGTACGTACAGTGAGGATGTGATGAGATGTGATAAAAGACGTTGATCAATTGTAATAAAGATTACAAAACAAAATGTATGTGAATGAGTGAAAAGCAATTAAAAAAATCCCAAAAGACTTATGCATAGTTTATACACTTACCAACATAGTTAGGTTCCAAAACCCAGGTGATTATATTAAAATCGGCATTGGGTGAAAATAGTGGATAACCACATGTGGTCATAAAATGGAAGACCACATTATGTAACTTCCAAGTCACATTATTTCCTCACTGTTAAACCACTGTGAATGAGAGGCAAGGTCAAGTTGACATATAACCTTAGCCATCACAGCCAGTATTATCTTCACTTTCATCATTCATTACTTCCAGATGTATGATGTTCATTTGTGAAAATAGTTGAATAATGGATTTTTTACTATGATCTTTAATGTCAGTTGTCGCATACCATCAAGTCGGAACTATCCCATAGCTCACTCTGCAGCACTTTTCAGAGGCAGTTAATCACCCAAGAAGAGGTTGCCCATCTTTGTCCTCTGGTGCTGCTGGCAGATTAAAACTGAGCCTTTGGGATTGCCACACAGCTTCTTATGACTAGGCCTCCCTCTAACAAGATAGTGGGTGAAGGTATATAAGAAAGTATTATTTATCATCTATATTTAGTGTAGCTGCATGCTGTGCAACCAGTGTAGAATGTTCATGTCTGTATAGTTTAGAGCGAATATTTTTTGAAAACTTTTTTTTGCATTATTCACATTCATAGTAATATTCATTTGCTGAATTGAGAAGTTTGAATCAAGCCTGAGAAAAGCAAAGTAGCTTCACCTTCCAGAAGAGGACTTAAAATTTTGAGCTGTTTTAAACATTGTTTCCTCTACTACTCCCTGGTTTATTAATGTGAAAATATTGCAGGTCTGTTCTTGATGGCTTGGCCTTTAGGGATCTGTGGGTAAACATCAGACTAGCATTATACTGAACTTGTAGCACAGACACATTTTGGAATTAGTTATGAGTTTTTCTCTTGCTTTTTTAAATTTTTAAATAAATAAGATCCAAAAGAAAAAGGATACATGGTAGATCAGTTGTCCTGCTTTGGTTATAAAATCTAGATATTTTTTCAGCTTAGACATAGGAGTCCCCTTCATGACCTAATACTTCTAACATTGTATTTTAAGGTCAAACTTTAATAGTGATATTGAATATTTCTTCACCAAATTTTGTGTCCTGAATATGTATTTTCTTGGGAGCCAAGAGTGGCGCTAGGTTTTTATCAAACACTTGGTCTTCTATGAATTTGTGGTATTTTTTTTTATTATTTTTGAGAATTTTTTTGGCTCTATGTAACAGAAACACCAACTCAAAATGACTTACAAGGAGATTCATTTGTTCACATATTTATTTTTCTACTTGTTATAGCAAGTTTAAGATGTTTCATTTAAATTCTGGTTCTTTTATTTGCTGCTTTCGTAACACTGTCATTGATTGATCATCCTGTCTTTCTTGATCTGACTTCCTTCATGGTTGCAAAATGGCCACAAATAGCATTTGAAGCTGCTTGCTTCCATATTTATATTCAAGGATAAGTGTATCTTTCCAAAGTATATTGTTCTCCGTTTTTGCAAACAGAAACACTTCTTACCTGTTATAGTTTGTTTCTTTAAGATTCTGTAGTGATCAGCTTTAGGAGAGAAAACATCTTTCAGCAGGGCAAAGGACAGGTTTGTTTTCTGTTCATTATAGTAAAGATTGTGTCTTGCCATAGACAGAGATCAGGTATTAAAAATGTAGATTTTGTATATTCAAGTTTCCTCTCATATGGTGCAATAATTATGCATTTAGACATCATCTAGTGCCGTTTTCCTCTCCTTTTGGGTATTGGGTTTTAGGGAGCTAGTGCAAGTTCTGATCTTTTAATTACGGAAGAGCCTTATCTTTGACCCAGAGAATATTTCTTTCTGTCAGCATTCATGAATAATGTGACAGGTTACCATGCTGTCTTGGAAGTTAATTAAAATCTGAGACCCTTCATAGTGCTTATAGGTACATAAAATTTCTTAGTTTGGATCAAATAGGGTCACCTCTGAAGTAATTTCTGTGGCAATAGCAGTGACATGAGTGGCTTGATTAGAGATGAATTACCTGAATATTAGGTACTGACAAAAGATTGTGTATTCTGTTAGGTTTCTTTTTTTTTTTAGAGAGAGTCGTTGGAGCTAGAGGTGGGATTATTCCTTTTCTCTTAAAATTGTAAAAGGAAGAATGAGATAGATACTGGAATAAATATCCCTTCCCAACCTTTCTTAAATACCAAATTAGATAATACATTACTTTTATAATTTTAGAACAAAACTTTTAAGAGTAGCTATAAATTTTCATGTTGCTAAATATCTGCTCTTTCTTTTGTTTAGGCCACTTTTTCTTACCTACATTATTTTTGCTTTCAGGTTTGTGCAGCGGCATCAGCAAAGCTAAATACACTCCTTCAGACCAAAATGATTGAAAATCAGAATGAGGCATGTTATATTTTAGGGAAGCTAGAAAGTGTTCTAAGTCAATCAATCAAGGAACAAACTGAAATTTACTCATTCCTAATTCCCCTTGTTCGTACCCTGGTTTCCAAAATTTATGAACTTCTCTTTATGAACTTGCACCTACCTTCTTTACCTCTTACCAGTGGCAGCTCCTCATTTTTTGAAGATTTTCAAGAATATTGCAATTCAAGTGAATGGCAAGTTTACATAGAAAAATATGTAAGTTTTTTCTTTTGAGCAATAATTTTTCTACTTGACTGTGGTTTTATTAGAAATATCTGCTAAATTTTGTATATGTTTTTATTAAGATTGTACCTTATATGAATCAGTATGAAATCCATACATTTTATGATGGTCGTGAGAACATTGCACTTTATTGGAAAGATTGTTATGAAGCCTTAATGATAAATATGCATAAGCGAGACCGTGAAGGCGGAGAAAGCAAACTGAAATTTCAGGTAAATATAACACCTACTTACTTATTCGTGTTAATTGCACATGTTTGAATTTCTTTGTAGGTTCTTTGGGATTTTCATTGTAGCTGTACATACTGTTTGCGAATGGGGTAGTTTCCTTTCCAACATGAACTTCTCTCTGAAGCTTAGTGCATTTACTAATAAGACTTACATTATTGACTCAGGGCAATGAGAAGGGACATGTTTGCCTGACCAGAGGGAAGAAGTGTTTAGTTTTGTCCTTTTAAATATGTAGTCTAGGATTCTTGTAGATATTAAGACAGTTCCCTTCTACTCACAGCTGTTGTACATAGAGTTGCTATGAGTCATAACAACACAACTTAGAATCACCATAGAAAAAAGAATTAGTCAGATAATTTTAGGAAGTAGGGTTTAGAGCTCTTGTAAATAGGCTTGCTATTAGTCACAAACGACGCAAAGGCACATAACAACAAACAACAGTATATAATCAAGTGGTTCTGAAGAAAGACATCTAAGCTGCCCTGAAGCATTGGCTGAAAATAAGGATCCAGGAATTGATGGACATTTGAGGCATTCAGCAAACAAATATTGCCCTGGATGTACTTACAAGTCTATGCCAATAGATTTGGATTCTGAAGCTTCATCTGACATACTTTGGGCATGTTGCAAGGAAGGAACCAATCCTTGCAGAGGGACTTCATGCTTGGGAGGGTGGAGGGAGCGCGAAGGAGAGAAAGACCCTTGATAAGATGGATTGATTCAGTGACTGGGATAATGGGGACAGGTGTGTCAGAGATGGTAAGATTGGCACAGGATAGGGCATAGTTAAGGGCTGTTGTACATAGGGTCACTATGAGTCACAGGCAACTCAATGGCACATAACAACAACACCACTACTATATCAAATAGGTAAATGAAAAGATATAACCCTGCTGCACACTTTCCTTGTTTTTAAACCTTTACTCTGTTGGGACAACAGTTCCTTGATCCTAGACAGAGACTCCACGTGAGCACAATTAAGTAAGTATTCTAGTATTCACATTATTCTCAGTGTTAGTCATAACTTATTATGATCCACAGACTTAAATACCTATTACTATTATTATTATTATTATACCAAGGATGGTTGTGTTCTGTTGTTATGTACTAGTGAATCAGAACAACCCAGAGCTGACCCTCCAGCAGGTTTTCAGAAGTAGTTAATCACAAGGGAGGAGTTGTCTATCTTTCTCCCGTGGAGAAGCTGGAAGATTAGAAGTGCATGTCCTTTGGTTTGGTAGTGTGATTCCTCACTACTCGGCAACCAGAGCTTCCCACCTAGGATAGTGGGAATTAATAAATAATAAAACTCATGTACTTAAAAACTACCTTCACTATTTATGATTCTTAACATGCTTATTACCGGTTAAAGATTTTTCTAAGTTTAAAAAAACTAAATACACACACACACATAAAAGCACACCTAAAATATATTGTATATTGGGTTTCAGATCATAATAAAATATAACATAAAATCAAATCACACAGACTTTTTGGTTTCCCATTGTATATAGAAGCTATGTTCACATTATACTGCAGTCTTTCAAGTATGTAGATCATTATAAAAAATGTGACACCTACCAGAACATAAGATTGATGCACAAAATAAGCACACATTGTTTGGAAAATGGAGCTGTTAAGCACAATTGATAACATTGAATCTAAATTCCAAAATCAATCTCCATAATAGTCTATGTGTTTCCTACTGCCAAAGGGGCCCTTTAGAGTAGTGAGAGAAGATCTTCACCCTGAAACCCACAGCGTCCCTTTTCAGCAGGAAGTAGCTAAGAGAATACGCCATCCCCTTTTCCTTATGAATCAGGGTGAAGTCTCTCTCAGGGACGAGTGATAGGGAATGGCAAAGGGCACACTGACAAAGGAGATTAATCAGAACTGGCTTTGACAAGGACTGTGGCAATTGGACAATTAAAACAGACATTTGGGGCGGGAAGAAGAACGAACTGGAGAGGAGGGTAGCATAGAGAAAACAGTGCAACAATGAATGAATGAAAACCCAAAATCTCTGTAAATGTTCACTAAAACTAAGAAAATTTAATAATAATTTTTTTTAAAAATGGAGCTGTTAAGGCTTGCTCAGTGCAGAGTTCTAAAAAGACTTTTAAATTATATAAAACAGTTTCTGTTAAGTACAATAAAATATGCCTTTATGATATCTAGAATGGTGCCATGTTGTTTCAATGATTTGTAGTTTTGAAAACTATAATCCTTTAATTTCAAGGAAAATTTTTCAAAAAATTTTTTATGCAACAAAGAAAACCTATTAAGTACCAGTTATTTCTTCTGTGACAACAGGTTATTGAATCAGTTTTTCAAAAAGATGACATTAAATCTTTATGTGAATAATTCAGCCCTGTTATTTATTTTATTTTGGGTTTTTTTCTCCTCCCAGGATTCTTTTGTGGGACCTTTTAATCGAAAAGCACGCCAAGAAAGCATGAGATATAATAATATGCTTAAACAAGTTAGCAGTCAACAGTTAGCTACCCTGAGATGCTGGAAGGCAATACAGCTCTACCTTACTAGTGAGAGAGGACCTTGGGCTGAAAGGTAGGAGCATAGCTTTTATTAATTACCTTTTTTATTTAGAGTTCTGCTCTAGAACTTTTTTAGCTGACCTTCTGTCTTGCTAATTTTTCTTTCTTTTAAATTAGAAAAGAAGAAATTAATACCATTTTAGTTACTGTCATTTTTTAGTATGTAAATTACAGGTTGTGATGTTTAGAGGTGTTTTAATATATATTTTTTTCTATAAGGCACTTATTTACATTTCTTTTTTTTCTCTAGCTAATAAATAATTAAACTTTAAGTTTTTGAAGGGAGCTGGTGGCCTAGTGGCAAGAAGCTGCACTGCAATCCCAGAGATACCCAGTTCAAATCCACCAGATGCTCTGCTGGAGAAGGAGGGGCAATCTCCTCCTGTACCAGTCACATCTGATTTGATGGCACATACTCAAAAAATAATAAAATTTAAAACAAACAAACAAAAAACCCTTTAAGTTTTTGGTTTGTTGTTTCTTTTTTTTTTGAAGGCCTATCATTTTTAATTATTATACTAGTTTATTTACAAATAACTTTAAGTTTTCAACCACTTTTTTTCCTTACCTTCCTTGATGGCTCTTTGAGCCAGGGGTAGTAATATTCCACATACTTCTTACTAGAGACTATCTCAGACTGAAATAAATGCCAAGATGTGAGATGTAATCCAGCTATGATGGTTATAGCTGAACCGTGATACTCATAGCAGTGATTTGGCAGTGAATTAATAATGTAATTTGTTAGTCACATAAAGATGTAGCCATCATCCATTTATTTGTATATAATATGATTTTCCTGTAGTGAATTGGTTTCTGAAACCTAACTCTGTCAGTAAGTGGCAGTTGATTCAGCTGGTCCCAAGATCACTTATGGGTTGCTTTTACTTCACCTCTCTGAGGATGCAGACTAGAGACACTTTCATGTGGTCCCTGACCTCCTCCTGTGCTATATAAAGTGGGATACAGCAACTTCTCTGGACCTTGAAAAACCACCACCTTGAGTTGGGAGAGCATCCCTAGTGTTGTGGTTATTGTCTTCGGTTTGAATCTACTGGTTGCACCTCAAGAGAAAGATGGCAGCTTTGGAGATTTACAGCCCTGGAAATAGTACGGGGCAGTTCTTCTCTGTCCTAGAGGCCCTGGCTGCAATATCAAGATGAGTACCAGACCTATTTCCATACCAGGTGGCAACTCTTCCAGAAACTGCCCCAGCACAATTAGGAGAACAAAGAAGAAGGTGGAGGAGAAGGAGGAAGAGTAGAAGAAGGCACAGAAGAAGAAGAAAATAGAAAAGAGGAAGAAGGAACTTCAGGCCTACAGTGGCAAGTAACTGAATTGCCAGTGGCTTGAATTAACTTGGAAGTGGGTTCATCCCCAGATTCTTGCCAACGCCTTGATTTTGGCCTTGTTATACTTTAAGCTAAAGACACAGTCGAGTCTTGCTAGAACTGGTCTTTTGCCCTACAGGACCGTGAGCTAATAAAAGAATGTGGATTTAAGCTGGTTGGTTGGTTTGTTTTTTAGCAGTTTGTCTTCACCAGCAGCAAAACGGGAGAAAGATTATCAGTCTCCTACCATTAGGATTTGCAGCATCAGAAGCCCAGTAGGTCACAATAAGTCAAAACCAGCTTGAAAGTAGTGAAGATCATTAATATTTTGCAGAATTGTCTTTATTTTTATTTTCCTTAAAATTATGATACATAAACATGAAATTTACCATTTTAAAGCATACTGTTTAGAGACATTTAGTACATTCTCTTTAAGGTAAATGATTATTCCATCATCACCTTTGTATCGCTCCAGAACGTTTTTTATGACTTTAAAAAGAAACATTGAATCCATTCAGTAGTCATCCCACAAGCTCATCTACTTCCCCAGCAGCACTTGACAACTACCATCTGCTTTCTCTCTCTATGGATTTGCCTGTACTGAGTATTTTATATAAAATGAATTCTGTATTATTTTACCTCTTATGTCTTACTTATATTTAGCATAATGGTCTTGGTGTTCATTCATGCTGTAATATGTATCAATTTTTTTATGGCTAAGTAATACTTCATTTGTTTGTATCCATACATAAGTTAATGAACATTTGATTTGTTTTAATCTTTTAATTATAAGAATGGAATGATGCTGCATGCACATTTATGTACACGTGTTTGTTTAAATTTCTGTTTTTAACCCTCTTGAGTACATTTCTAGGGCTGGAAAAACTGGGACATATGATCAATCTTCATTTAACTAGAAATCTCATTAGTGTTTAACTTTTTTAACAAATGTATTCAGTTCTTTTGTCTATTTTTAAACTAAGTCCTTTTTCTTTTTGGTTGAGTTTTCAGAGTTCTATATATGTTCTGAATAGTAGACCCTTTCCATATATATGATTTGCAAATATATTTAAGATTGTTTTCACTTTTCATGATAGTATTGTTGAGAGGACAAAAAAGTATTTTTTTTTCATGGAGATTCATTCCTGTTTTATAGCTTTAGCTCTTTGATTTATTCAAGTTATGTTAATTTATGTTTGTTATTATTGTTGTATACTGTTGATTTAGAAGATTATTATTTGTAAACATTCAAAATATAAACTCATTATTATAACTAATTAAGAGCTTTTTCTTATCACTATAGGAATGAAAATGTGTCAATCTAGAATCTCAAATCAAGTTCAGATCTTGTTTTTGCTATCTATTAAAGCACATGGTATTATTGAACAAATAATTTAACCTTTCTTAGGTTCCAATTTCTCATCTACAAACTGCAGCTATCTGTATTAATTTTATTTTTTCTTGGGATTGTTTCTTTCAAATGAGATCATGGAGGTGATACTTTTTTATAATATGATGCTAAACAAAAGTACCCAGTAATTTTTTACATTTTTTCAACAAATCAGTGTCTGTAACCGCACTCTATATGACTTTGTCTGTTTACTTATGAATCCTCAATAGGAAGGAGAGTCCAATTCACTGGAAACTATCTAATGTGGAAAATTATTCCCGTATGAGACTTAAATTGGTGCCAAATTATAATTTCAAACCCCATGAGGAAGCTAGTGCCTTGAGAGATAATCTAGGTAAGTTTAATGACTCTTTGGATTATTTTTTTAGTATACTGAGGGTGTTGATGGGTTAGTTATTACTTTGTTATTTGTATATGAGAGAACTATATTTACAACTGATGCTTAAATGTTGCATAGGTTCTATGTTGTAACATTTAAGTATAAAATTACTTCATATTTCATTGATTGTAATTTTTCAAAGAATAATGATAAATTTATACTGTGCTTCATCATGAAATACTGTATTATCTTACATCTATTATCAGACTGTGAAATAAAATCCTCTCTTACCCTTTTGCTAACTAAGACTTAGACTAATGTTAACACAAGATAAAATCCTTAACAGTCTTTTAGCTCTTTTCTCTTTCATAATCTGTTCTTATGTAACTCAAGATCTTTACTATTATAAATGAGCCAATTATATTTCCTAGAAATTTATATGACTTATATTTCAAAACAGATTTTGAAAGTTTTTTTTTAACATTTTGATAACTCTTGAAGAAGTCTTTTCTTTTTAATCATTTCTTCTCTTTATGAATGGACATCTTTTTTGAATTTGTGGAATACCCCAGAATTCTAATTATCAAGAGTTATTGGCAGACATGTATATTAAATGTCTCTCATTGCCTTTGAGTTAGAGCCAACTCATAGCTTACGTGCCAGTGCAGTTTTGGAGGCTGTAAATAGCTCTAGAGGAGGGTGCCCATCTTTGTCCTGTGAAGCTACTGGTGGATTCAAACCTGCTGCTTTTAGGTTAGAAGCTCATCTTCACAGAGACTATGCCACTTCTTTTCCCAAAGTTCTATAATACACTTGCTGTGGCATTTTGTGTTCAGTGAATAGGGTATAGATAAAATAACTATCAGTGTTTAAATCTTACTTTTTAAAATTGTCTTAGTACACTGACACATATAGTTCATACTATAAATTTATCAAAAGACAAATATTGCTTACCATTTAGGTTCTTATATTAGAATATAAATCCGAATAAGTGATTTTCCTTCATGAAAATACTGACTGTACATATGATTAAAAAAAAATTGCATTGACTCTTTCTTACTTAGGGACAGAGACTTGCCTTCTCTTTCCTGTACATACCCTGTGATTAACATACTTTCTTTACTCCCTTCTTGTCCTTATCACCCAGAAGACATCTTTTGGGTAAATAACTTCATCTAGTAACTGTGAGTCTGGAACCTTTTCTTTTATACCTTTTGAATGATGATTTTTCCAGATCCATACCTACTCCTCTTATTTTTATTATATTTTATTTTATTAATTTTACTGAACATTTACAGAGATTTTGAATTTTCATTCATTCATTGTTGCACTTTTCTCCCTGCCCACCCACTCCTCTTATTTTTAACCTTTGTATATAAGCCCTGGTTCTTCCATGAATTCACCACCTTATACATAACGATCTTTCCAATTTGTGTTTCTGTCTTCTTCTAGTCTGAGATTTGAAACTGCATATTAGGATATACTTGACTCTCCCACAGAAATGTTACTATAACATATATGAAACTGAATTAATTATCTTTTCCCCATACTTTTTACTCTAGATTCTGCTTCTTTGGTAACTTGTTATGGTGGTTAACAGTGGCTCTTTTAGTGGTTTTCCCAAAACAGAGGGAAAACATGCCCTAGTAAAAGTGCTGAACCAACAGAAAATTTCAAAGGGAAGCTTGATAAGACAACAAAGTACTATAATGGAATGTGCAGAGAGCTGGAATTGGGGAATGAAAAGGGAAAAACATTCTCTGTATTTTTGAGAAAAGTCAAACTGAAAACCAAATTTAAGGTTTGAGTCGCAGTATTGAAGGATACTCTGTGCGATATGTTGAATGCTTGAGGAAGCATCAAAAGAAATGGAGAGACTGTAGAATCACTGTACCAAAAAAAGTCACTGACATTGAAAAATGTCAGGAAATACCACATAAGCAGGAGCCAATGGAAGTGAAAGAGGAAGTTGAAACTGCACTGAGGCATTGGCAAAAAGAGATACCAATTGACTTATTTCTTTTAACAGATGCAACCCTAGATGTACTCACTAATCTGTAGGAAATTTGAATGAGAGCTCTCTGGCCAATGCATTGGAAGAGGTACATATTTATTCTTATTCTCAAGAAAGATGTCTCAACAGAATGTGGAAATGATCAAACAGTATCATTAGTAGCACATGCAAGTAAACACTGCTGAAGATCATTAAAAATGGCTAGAATAATACACAGATAGGGAACTGCTAGAAGCTGGATTCAGAAGAGGCCTAACAACAGGGATATCCTTGCTGATATCAGATGGCTCCTGGCTGAAAGTAAGAATACCAGAAGAATGTCTGTTTTATTGACCATGCAAAGGCATTTGTCTATATCAATCATAACAAGTTATGGCTACCATTGAGAAGAATGGGAATTATAGAGCACTTAGTTGTTCTTATGTTAACCTACACCTAGACCAAGAGGCTATTGTGTGAACAGAGCAAAGGAACATTCCATGGCTTAAAATTAAGAAAGGAGAGCATAAAGGTTGTCTTCTCTCTCCATCCCTATTCAGTTTGTACGTAGAGCAAATTATTCAAGAAGCTGGACTTTATGAAGAAGAATGTGTTATCAGGATCAGAGTTAGACTCATCAGTAACCTGTGTTATGCAGATGACACAACCTTGCTTGTTGAAAGTGAAGAGGACTTGAAGCACTTATTGCAAAAGATCAAAGAATACAGCCTTCAGTATGGACTGCATCTTAATGTCAAGGGAACCTAAATTCCTATCATTGCACTAATAGACAACATCACAATAGGTAGAGAAAAGATTGAAAATGTCAATAACTTCATCTTACTTGAGTCTATAATTAACACCCATGGTACCTGCAGTCAGGAAATCAGGAGGCATACTGAACTGGGAAAGTCTGCAGTCTGGGACTTCTCCAAATTATTGAAGAACAGTGATGTCACTTTGACGTCTAAGGCATTTCTGGTTCAGGCCATGGGTTTTCTGTTCACTTGCATCTGGAAGCTGGACAGTGAATAGGATGACAGAAGAAAAATTGATGCCTTTGAGCTGTGGTGTTGGAGAATACTGAATACCCCGTAGAATGCAGCTAGAGTGATCCTTGGAGGCAAAGATAATAAAGCTTCACCTCATATACTTCAGGCATGTTACTAGGAGGGGCTACTCCATAGAGAGGGACATAATGCTCAGAAAGGAAGAGGATCAGCAAAGGAGAGGAAGACCTTGCACGAGGTTGATTGACACAGTGACTGCCTCAGTGGACTCTAGTGTGTCAGGAAGTAGGAGAATGGCACAGAATAGGACAAGGCTCAGATCTTTTGTTATAGGGTCACTGTGGGTCATATTTGACTTAGCAACAACAGTTAGTGGTGCTGATTAGAAATCTTAGGATTATCTGTGATTCTCTCTTAGTACCCTATTTATTGAACTCTTCAGGCACAATACTCTGCTGATACTATTTCTGAAGCATCTTTTAATTATTTCATCTTCCCTTTATTCCTTTGGCTTTGTGCCACAGTAGTTTCTCCAGTTACTATGCCTCCTTTCCTCATTTCATTCATCATTCATCATTCATTTATTCATCAGATTTTCAGCTTAAAATCATGTGTGTGTGTGTGTGTGTGTGAGAGACTCAAGGAAGGCTTTATTAGTCAGCAGAGCTCTGACAGGCCACAGCCTCTCAATGGTCAGCTCACTAAGAGCAAAATGTCCTCCTTATATAATTTTACAAAGGTACAGGTTGAGGTTTCCTTCCCACTGGCTAATTTTACATACATTTTGATTGGTACATTGGGTGCTCTGGGCAAGAGGCTATAGGCTAACAATAGTTTCCTTAACATCTTAAAAGCAAAGTGGTCCTTAAAAACTGTATCTGCCTCATTTATATTTCTGTGCCCTACCAACTTGGGCCAAAAGGCTTTATCTCGTCTGTATTCCCAGGCTGCTCCTTGAAGGCAAGGATTCTGAAGCGCCATGTTGCAAAGCGGAATCAGTCCTTGGAGAAGGACGTCATGTTTGGGAGGGTGGAGGGACAGCACAGGAGAGGAGGACCCTCAATGAGATGGTTTGTCTCAGTGACTGGAGTAATGGGGTTGGAGGTGTTAGAGACCATAAGGTTGGCACAGGATAGAGCAGGGTTCAGCACTGTTCCCTGTAGGGTCGTTATGAGTCGCAGGCAATCTGACTCCACATACCAACAGTAGCAACAGACCAACTGCATATTTCCTTTTTCTGTATTATGGGAATAGCCTGGTCCTGGGGACGCCAGACAAAACGCCATTTCAGCCTGAGCCTGAGAACCCTAGTTCTGGACGTGGCCCTGCAGTGCATCCCAGTGTGGTCACTCTAGAACAGTGACGAGGCCATTTCGCCTCCCAATACTGGGGCGTGTAGCCCCTCACCCACTCCCTTCGGGAACCCTATCCAACCTGTAGGCTCTCCCACCACAGAGGCCCCAAATGGCCGCAAACCACCAACTCGAACCCAGACCCCTGCATCCCCAAACTCGCTTGCCGTTTACTTAGAGAGTTTTAACGCAGGAATATGTAAAGACCTCACGGCCTAGGAGGACCGAGGAAGACCTGACATTAGTTGTATGATTCAAGCCAGCCCACCAGTGCCACTCTGCATGCATCAGCTTAAAATCTTAATGCGTTCATGTCAATCTTTCACATACAACCAATTTGTTGTATCTGTTTTTTCTAGACTTTTTTCTTACAGTTTTTATTCTCATATGTTTTATGTAATTAAAAGTTTAATGATAAATTTATTTTTACATTAAATAAGACGAAAAACATAATAGAAATAATAGCTTGTTCTAAGGAAAGTGTGAGTCAGCACAGCACTAACCATTGTAGAGAAAGGTCTTATCAAATTTCTACAGAATATGATAGGTGTACCTTAGATTGATTCATTTCTTTTGTCTGAACAGAGTACCATTTGAGGAACAAAGGAGAAGATAGAATGCAGCATATTTAAACTTACACATTTTAGTCTTTTTGTAGTGTTTGTTACTTAATGAAATACTATAATGTCTTTATTCATATTTAATATGTAAGTATTTTAAAGTCCTACTATAAATTAATTATCAGTCCTATTTAAGATTCTGCCAGTTTTTCCATGGGAGAAAGATGACAATCTCCTCCCATGCAATTACTGCCTCTGAAAACCTGCTGGAGGGTCAGCTGTGGGTTGGTTCTGACTCAGGACACAACACACACATTCTCATCAATTATGAACATTTATGTTACTATTCTCCTTATATTCACCTATATGAGAAATGAATGCATGATGGTAACTACCATTTGTTTTATACTTAAAGTGTGCCAAAATACTCCCTCACCTGTTACTTTCCATATTTATAAAAGTCATTAAGTCTAGTGATATATTCCCCACTTTGAAGATTGACAGTTTAGATTGAGAGTCAGGTGGCAGATAATTTGAAACTGGGTTTACTCCTTAACGGCCTTATTCATTCCTTATGACAGCATCTTGTTTCATATTTAGCTTATAAAGTACATTACAGTTCAACAGTTGGTCTCTTTATCTGGAAAAAATAAGAGTGAAGACAAGCAAAAATGTATTAAAACAGTCTAACAGATAAATTGACCACATATACCTCAACTTTCATGATCCTAAGGCCAGAAGAACCAGACTGACCACTCTAAAAGGGATCTCAGTAGAAGATCCTAGAGCGGAAGAGAGAGTGGAAACAAAACTCAAAAACAAAAATGGCTAGGCTTACTGGTTCAGTAGACATTTATGGGCCTCTGAGGCTGTGGCTTTTGGTCATCCTTCAAACTTAGTGCTAAGAAAATGCACTGCAATCCCAAAGGCACATGGTTCAAATTTAACAGCTGCTCTACGCAAGAAGGATAAATAATCTCCTCTGTGCAGTTTACTATCTTTGAAAATCCTTTGTAAGTTCAGCTATACATTGATTCCAATTGATGACACACAACAAGAAGCAACTCAACTTTCAGACAGACATTGGACCGGTTTGTAAGGTGACCAATAATAACAGGGAGACACTCACTCCTTAGAATACCCAACCTGTAGGGTCAAAAGAGCAACATTTACCCTAGGATAAAGCCTTGAAGGCAGGAAGGGATAAAGTAGAAGACTTAATGGAAATTACAGTTATTATAAGGAAGTAGAATAAGTGATTACATTTTAAATCTTAATGTTATAAAACAAAATGATTAACTGAAAAAAAATAGTTTATAAACTTTCACTCATCACAGGAAGAGAGATTGTGTGTTTATGTGTGGGGGCCCATGGTGACACAGTTGTTAAGCAGGTGGCTGCTGAAAGTTGTGGCAATCAGCTTTCATAAAGATCTGCAGCATTGAAAGCTATAGGATGATTGTCTTTTGTCCTCTAACATTAAAATGAATTGAAATCTACTCAAATGCAATGAATTTAGTTTTAAATTTATATAAATTTTCTCTTACCAAAACCCCACTGCTGTTGGGTTGATAGTCAAGACTCATGGTAACCCACCCAGGAGACTGACTTTCTACTGACCTTTCAGTTAATAGTATAACACATACTATACCACCAGAACTCCTTCATTTTCCCTTACTTAGCATTCAATAAAGTTTTTGTATTATTACAGGTGTCCAGCACTCACAACCGTCCAGTGAATCCTTGCTTTTGGAAGTTGTAAAACAAGTAAAAGTTAACGATATGGAGGAAGATAAATTAGACCTTCTAGAAGATGACATAACAACCAGAGGAAATATGTATGTGTAACTTTTTGAAAGAATTTAAAACTATTTGGTTTTATACAGTGGGTTGTAAAATGAAAATATTTGCTTGAAATGCTAATATTAAGAATTTCCACAGTCTGATGTTTAATGTTAAAAATGCTATAAGGAGCCTATAACCCTTTAGTAAATGGAAGGAAATTAGACAAAAGCAGAAATACATGACAACACCAAGCTAAATGGGCAGGATAAACATTAATGTTAAAATCAGTAAAACAGGCCGCCTCCCTGCCTCTGCGGGTGCCTTCCCCTGCCCACCCCGCCCCCGTGGCCGAGCCCGGGAGTTGAGTGGGAGTCGACCAGCTGCCAAGGGCAGCACCAGGACCCCACGTGGGATACTGCAGCCAGAGCCCGGGAGGGGCCGAGCCACCACCATATCAACTAGGATGTCCCGACATGAAGGTGTCAGCTGTGATGCATGTTTAAAAGGAAATTTTCGAGGACATAAATACAAGTGTTTAATTTGCTATGGTTATGGTCTTTTTGTGCATCTTGTTATGAAAGTGGTGCAACAATAACAAGGCATACAACCGACCACCCAATGCAGTGTGTATTAACCAGGGTAGATTTTGACTTATACGATGGTGGGGAAGCTTTCTCTGTAGAGCAGCCACAGTCTTTTACTTGTCCTTATTGTGGAAAAATGGGCTATACGGAGACATCACTTCAAGAACCTGTGACTTCTGAACATGCAGAAACATCAGCAGAAGTGATTTGCCCAATTTGTATAGCATTACCTGGAGGTGATCCTAATCATGTCACAGATGACTTTGCAGCTCATCTTACACTTGAACACAGAGCCCCTAGAGGTTTAGAATGAATCGAGTGGTGTTCAGCATGTACGTAGTGTTTCACCGTGGCCGGGGATTAGGAAACCCTTGTGCGGGTAGATCAAACATGTACTTTACGAGCAGTTCTTTCTTTTTCTTCTTAGAGTTCATATTCTCCAAGCAATAGGGAGGCCATGGATCCTATAGCTGAGCTTTTATCTCAGTTATCAGGAGTGAGATGCTTTGCAGGAGGACAGCTAAACTCTTCTGGCCCTTCTGCTTCTCAGTCACAACTGCAAATGCAGCTGCAGCTGGAACGATAACATGCACAGGCAGCATGGCAACAACTGGAGACGGCATGCAACACAGCCCTGTGCAATAACACGAGCAGTGTCACCACTACAGTCACACAGTCCACCACCACAGCCAACACGGCCAGCACAGAAAACAGCAGACCATCAGAATTTCCAGTTTCTTTTAACAAGGTTGAATCATCCTAAGATGTCTAAGACAGAGCGCCAGTGCATGGAAAGCGAGCAGGCAGACCGCAGCCTGTTTGTGCAAGAGCTGTTTCTATCGACCTTAGTGCGTGAAGAGAGCTCGTCGTCAGACAAGGATGAACGGGGGGAGATGGCAGATTTTGGTGCTATGGGCTGTAAAGATATTATGCCTTTGGATGTTGCTTTAGAATACCTAAATTTAAAAGAGTAATAAAGGAAATGAGCCTCCACCACCTCCTCTTTGATGACATCCCAATTCACAGACAATGTCCTCTGTGCTGTATTTGCCAGTAAAAGTGGACAACAATGAAAAAATATCAGCAAAACAAATTGATAAAATAAGTCCCTACTGTGATTAGCCATGAATTAAATGGAAATATCACTGAAAATATGAAAGCTATTATAATCACCAGTGATAACCTTATGCTAATAAGTTTAATAATGTAAATGAAATTAAACAATTTCTAGAAAGCCGAAAATTACCAGTGCTTCCCAAGAAGAAATAAATATTATAAATAGGCATGTATCTTTTTAAAATTTTATAGTTTTGAAATTGATCCTAAGTAAATATAAAATAGATGTTTGTGTTTAAAAAAATTATCCAATAGAATGCAAACATTACAGAATGATAACATTGTTATCACACTCAAGTAAAATCTTCTGAAGGTTATTCAAAATAGAAGAAGCTGTACATCAGCAGGGAACTGACAAATTCAATCTAGATTGAGAGGAGACCAAGGATGGATCCTGACTGAAATAAAATACCAGAAAGAGATTTATTTGTGTTTTCTTAACTATGTAAAGGCTTTTGACTGTATGGATCATAAATAATGGCTAAAATTGAGAAAAATGGGAATTTTAGAACATATATAGTGCTCATGTGGAGCCTGTACATAGAATGCAAAGCAGTTCAGACAGAACAAGGGGATGGTTTTAAAGCAAGAAAATTGTCAGGATTGGATCCTTTCTCTGTACTATTTCATCTGTGTGTGGAACAAATAATCTAATAAGCTGAGATATATGAAGAATATGGCATCTGAATTGGTGGGAGACTCATCAATAACTTAATGTATGTGGAGGATTCTACCTTCCTTGAAGAATCCATAGACAATTTGGACACTAAATGAAATTCTAAGACTATAGCCTTCAGTATTGATTGCACTTAAGCATCAAGAAAACAATGCTTACATCTAGACAAGTAGGTAATGTTATGATAGATGGAAAAAGATTGAACTTGTCAAGGATCTCATTTTGCTTGGATGCACAACCAAGACACAAGTGCATCTGTGCACCACACATGATATTGTCGTTTGTGTCATAAGCCTGTGATACTTGGACAACAAATAAGGAAGACCAAAAAAATAATTGATGCCTTTGAATCATGGTGTTTGTCAAGAATATTGAATATAGTGTAGATTATTAAAAGAACAAATAAATCTGTGTTGGAGACAGCACCCAGAGTACTCCTTGAGAGTAAAGATGTAGAGACTTTTCCTCTCATACACTTGTCATATTGTCAAGAAATGCCAGTCTTTGGGTAGAAGACCTCATTCTTGGAAAAGGAGAAGCTTATCAAAAGAGAGGAAGACTTTTAATGAGGTGGACTTGAAATGGTGGGCTTGAGCATGGTGGAGAGTCTGAGACTGTTACAGGATAGGAAAAAGTTTTATTTTGTTGTTCATAGTCTTCTTGACAGAACAGAAGAAACAACTTCATCCATGGTTCTCAATCTATCTTTTGTATTATTATTTGCCTACATACTAAATCCATGTAATTTCATTTGATAGAAAATACAATTAAAATGCATTTGATTTAAAATTCATCAGAAACTGTAACAAGTCCAAAAGATTGTGGGATGGCAGAATCAACTGCTGAGCGAAAATACTATCACTTAAGAATTATGTATGCCAACAAAAGTATCCTTCAGAATGGTCCTGTGACAGTTACTCATCCACATGCAAAAGATTGAATGTGGACCTTGCAATAGATTGAATTGTGTTCCTTGAAAACATTATCATTTTCAGTATTAACTCTATGCCTGTAGTTATAATCCCATTTGATAATAGATTTTGTTATGCTGCTGATGCAGGGCAGGTTGTATTTGGGGTCTTACAAAATATAAAACAGATTAAGCAAGCAGAGATTGGAGATCTCCAAGGAACCAAAATTTAGAAGCTGAAAAGATACAGACCTACACTTAGAGCCAGCACTCTAAATTTAGTCATCTAGCTTGGAAGGAGGAGTGGCATCCACTTCCATAATAGCTTGCCTCTGGAAAACCTATGAACTTGGAGAGAGGATGAGAGACACCCAAGCGTTGAGGACTCTCCTTCATAGGGTCGCTATGAGTTGCCTGCGATTTGACGGCACTTAACAACGGTCTGGAGAGGGTTAAACCGAGTGGCTTCTTGGAGGCAAGGATCCTGAGGCTTCATCTAACATACTTTGGACATGTTGTAAGGAGGGACCGGTCCTTGGAGAGGGATATCATGCTTGGGAGGGTGGAGGGCAGGCACAGGACGGGAAGGCCCTCTGTGAGGTGGATTGATTCAGTGATTGGGATAATTGGGTTGGGAATGTCGGAGGCAGTGTGATTGGCACAGGATAGAGCAGAGTTTAGGGGTGTTGTACATAGGGTCACTATGAGTCGCAAATGACTCGATGGCACATAACAACAACAGTCTTTGAAACTATGACAAGTTTAATTTCTCTGTATTAAAGGTATTAATATGTAGCATTTCTTTTATGGCAGTACATATAGCAGAGTTTGTTAGCAAAAGAACAGGGTGCTGCTCTAACAGATAACTAAAATGTGGAAGCTTTTCAAGAGAGGCTGGAGTTTTCTGGTGCCTCCTTAGAGCTCCCATGCCATAGTCTGTGGCATGTGAACTGACCAAATGGCCATGTGTCTGTAGTGGTATTAATCCACCAGAGGCTCAAGGGAGAAAGGTAGGTACCTTTTCTTCCATTAATATTCATAGCCTGGGAAATCCCAATAGAGGAGCTTATGAATAGGAAGCAACTCAATGCCTGTGGATGTCTCAGAGTGGTTGTTGGCAGAATTAGAGGCATTAAGATAATTCTGGTGAGAAATAAATCAGGAGAGCTAGAGAGCAAAATCTCTCACCATCTTAGAGAAGACATACATGGCCAGCTATATTATAGAAATGTAAACACTGAGTATGCTGCTGGTGAAACTTTAAAAAAAATTTGGTTGTATTTTGGAAGAAAGATGATGTTTTTTAATGTACTGGCAAATTGAATTCTATTCAGATGTTTGATGAAAGTTAGAACTTGTAATTTGGTTATTTAGATTAGATTTCTAAGCCTGGTCTTGAAGGGGCTGTGTGATTTCTCCTTGCTCCTTATGGCAGAATTCAAGAGAAAGAGGTCAGCTTAAAAATTAGCTGTGCAGAACGAAATATAGCTTAAAAATTTGGGAGAATTCTCTTGCACAAACTAAAGACACATGTTTTAGAATCTGCATCAAGGATATAATTATAGAAACGTTTGTTAAAGAGGTTAAGCCTATGACTCTTGGATCTAAGCAGCTACGACAACAGAAAACTAAGATTGCTAGAAATAGAGAAAAGTACAAAATCAGAGAAAGCTATGTCTCTTGGAATTCTAAATAAAGCAAGATACACACCAAAGAATTTGCATTTTCTGTTCTTCAAGATGATGAGAACCATCCCTTGAGTGTGTTAGAAAGAAACACAGAAAGCAGAATTGCCTCATCCTGAACTGCCATTGCCTCTGGGGGTGTAAAGGTGAGATGATAGTCTCCTAGATTTTAAAAAGTTGAATCTTTGTGTTTCACAGATCTTTGCCTTACCTTGTCAAGTCTAAGCTAGTGAGTCCTCAGATGGACTAAGAACACAAGGATGCTGCTCAAAGCAAAATTGCCATCACCAGTGGTCTCGAGAAAAGTGTGTGTTACGACTGTATTCTTTCTCTATACTTGTTCAATCTGTAAGCTGACAAATCGTTCAAGAAGCTGGTCTTTATGATGAGGAATGTGGTGTCGGTTCATAACAACCCACATTAAACAGAAACATGACTTATTTGTTGAAGGTGAAGAGGACTTGAAACACTTGCTACAGAAGAACTATAGCCATCAATATTGATTACATCTCAACATAAATAAAACAGTCATCACTGGACCCTTAGGCAACATAATGATTCATGGAGAAAAGATTGAAGTTGTCAGAAATTCAATCTTAATTGGATCCATAATCAACATCCTTGGTATTAGCCATCAAGAAATCAGAAGACATGCAGTATGCACTGAAAAAAATCTGCTGTCAAGGAGCTCTCCAAAATGTTAAAGAGCATCGATGTCAGTTTTAAAGGCTAAGGTGCTGTGATGCTGACTGGGAACTCTTTTTGGCGTAATATTTACAGTATTATGTCACTAAACAAAAGCCTCTTCTCTTTGGCAATTCCAGCCCATGTAGGGCCTCCTCAAATCTATGTAGGGCCTTCTTTTGAACAGTTCATAGCCTTAGAAACCCAATGGATAGTCAGCTAAGAATCTATTCTGACTCTAAGGCAGTCTCTTAAAAGAGAGTGATTGTAAGATGGTGCAGTTGCACTAGTTTTAATTACTCTTGAAATTTCTCTTATAATTTAAAAATCATAATTAGCATTTTAGTAATTATTTACAAAATACCATTAATAGTCTTTTATTCATCAAGTTTTGCTTGGATCAAACAATGTCTCCCAAAATAGATTAAATTGATATTACCAGCACTGCTTCATGTTTGATTAGTCATCTGCCAGTGCTACTAAAATTTTTTACTGTATTTGTATTAATAGATTGGACAGAATCAAAATGTTGTTGCTGCTGTTTGTTGTTATGTGTCGTTGAGTAGCTTGTGACTCATTCTAAAGTATGTTAGACGAAGCCTCAGAACCCTAGCCTCCAAGGAGCCTCCCCGGTTTAACCCTCTTCAGGATGAATCTGTTTGTTTTCCTAGAAGTCCATGGTACCCTCAATACTCTTCTCCAGCACCACAGCTCAAAAGCGTCAATTCTCCTTCTATCCTCCCTAGTCGTTGTCCAACTAGGAAGAAGGATTGGCCATCCACTTCTGAAATAGCAGGCCTCTGAAAACATTTTTAATGAAATGAAATTATTTAATAAAAATATTTGGACAATATTAATGCATTTAAAAACAGTAGAGTTTTGTAGTTAGTAATCTTAGGTAATTTTTTTAGGTAATTATTTTATAGACATTATTTGAATATGGTATTTTCATGTAAGAAAAATATGTCTCATTCTTTTTTGTTATCTTTACAGTGATGAGAAAGAAGAACAAGATCAAAAAGAAAAACTATTACTGACAGAAGACTGTGAACTCATTACAGTAATAGATGTAATTCCTGGTAGATTAGAAATCACTACTCACCACATTTACTTCTATGATGGGAGCATTGAAAAAGAAGATGGTGAGGACAATAATTTCTGTTGTTCAGTAATTATGTATCTAGTTTATCAGTCATGAAAAGGAAAAAGCAAGACAAGACTGGAATTTTATTCATCATGTAGAAGGATTAAAAACTCAGTAAATGGTTAAATTAATCATTCAACAATAAGTTGAAGGGAATGCTTTTACTTTTATTGTTAATTTACTTTAAAATGTTTGGTCTGAGGAATTATTATTAACTTCAGTTACGAAATACAGTCTTAATTTTGTCCTGTCATTTGGTGCATGCAGTTTACCAGCATAAAGAGAAAATGTAAAAATATTTCTAACATATAATATTCAGAATTATTTACTATTCTGGAAAAATTGTAAAATAAGTGTAGAATTATTTTTTTAAGAGCTATAAAAGAAATACAGATTAAACTCCAATAAATTTATTAAATGGAAATTAGCAACATAAAAGTTTAATTCTTTTCAGGAATACCACCATATTTATGAATAGCACAAGAAACTTTATATACATGGCTCTATCTTCACAACATTTCTACTGTTTTCAGGAATAGGTTTTGATTTCAAGTGGCCTCACACTCAGGTGCGAGAGATTCACTTACGGCGATACAATTTAAGGAGGTCAGCCCTTGAACTATTTCATGTTGACCAATCCAACTACTTTCTCAATTTCAAAAAAGAGGTATGTGTACAGTACTTCAGTTTTGCAAGATCTGAAATGTTAGTTTCTTTTCCTAGTGAACTCTAATGGAATTTTGGATTCTACTTTTTGACCAAGTCATAAAATTAGAAGAGAAAAGCAATGCCTTAACATCTCTACATTATATGAAATTTTGCTGCAATTTCTTTATATTTGATTGTTGGGAGGGTAGTTGTTGTTAGTTCTTATGATAAAGAAGTTGTACCATATTGAGTATCAGACAGTTTAAATACCTTAGAGTATGTGATTTTTTTAATATAGTAGGTAATATAGATTATGATATTCACTGGGGGAAGATTCATTAACATCTATGTTAAAAAGATGACATGATCTTGGCTGCAGAAAGTAAAGAAGAGTAAAAACACTTAAGATCAACGACTATAGCCTTCAATATGGATTACATCTCAGTATCAAGAAAATTTTCACACATGGACCAGTAGGCAGCATTATGATAGAGAAAAGATTGAAATTGGCAACCATTTCATTTTACTTACTTCCAGTGCTCATGACAGCAGCAGTCAAGAAATCAGAAGATACATCATTAAAGTACCAGAAAACAAAGATGTCTAATTAAAGACAAACTGTGTCTGGCTTGAAGCATGATATTTTCAGCTGCTTTATATAGAAATTAGATTTGAACAGTGAAGACCAAAGAAGAATTGATTCCTTTGAAGTGTTGTATAAGATTATTGAATTCCAAAAAGGGAGACCTTTAATATGATGGATTGACACAGTGACTGTGACAGTTGACTTGAGATCATGAAGGTGACACAAAGGTTCCAATCTGATGTTTACAGGCAACTAGCTGGCACCTAACAACCACCACCATAATAAGATCAAATTTAAGAAAGGGAGACGGAGGGATTAATCATTGGGTTGTACAATTTGATGGATGGGTGTGAGGGAAATTGAAAGAATTTATTCAAATTTGTATTTGAATTTTGTAAATAAACTAGTAGAAAAACAGAAAAAGGAAAGAAAAAAGTGAGGAATCTAAAAAGACCCACAAAACAATAGCCTGTGGATCTACAAAATTCATATGACTATAAACAAAAATAATCTTAGTCAATCTTAGTTTTAAAAAAAAGGAAAATATATTTAGATTAAAATTCAACAATAGTGACATGAATCTTTCTTCTGAGAATGTTTTAAATTTTCAAATCACTTAAGAGCTTAATCTGAGACCAAATTAACCTATGTTTAAGTATCAGTTCCATCATTTGCTGTAATCTTGGTGCTTCCCTCACTGAAGGTCAGACTTTCATCATAGTCTTAATGACTTTCCGCAGTTTACCTGTTTCTCTCCTCATTAACCTTTCACTAAACTCTTGTTCATATATTTTGTCACATTTAAGATTAAGCCCAGACAGTAAACGTCAGTTTGCCAGTAGGATCAAGTGTCAATTAATTATTTACTTTAAGAATTTCAGGAGTATTTTTTTTCTTCTATTTTTACAACACAGTAACTGTTTCCTTTGAAAAATAGACTTTTCCTTGTAGGCAAATAAAAGGCATGTCTTTTTATTTTTTTAAAGAAAACTATGTCATAATTTCCAGGTCTTTACCTGGTGAATATTGAATACTGTACTTTGTTTTCATTTTTCTTACAGTTTCTTTTTTTTTTTTTAAAGTATGCTAATCACTTCTGGGTGAAAATTTACAAAGGCTTGTCGGTTTCCATCTACCTATTTCTGACTAATCGTTCTGTGATATTGATTACCTTTCTCACAATTTGTCATTCTCATTTTTTCCCATTTTGTTGCTATTAATCTAGCTTCCCTGCCCCTTTGTCTTCTCAGCTTTGTTTTAAAATTTTTTTTTACTGTTTTTGTAAGGGAGCACAGTACTCAGATAATTTTTTTTTTTAAATAAGCCAGTCTCGGCGAGCTCTGGTGGCCTAGTGGCAAGAAGCTGGAACTGCAATCTCAGAGATACATGGTTCGAATCCACCAGATGCTCTGCTGGAGAAGGAGGAACAATCTCCTCCTGTACCAGTCAGATCTGATTTGACGGTACACACAAAAAATAATGAAATAAAATAAACTTTAAAAAAAAAATAAGCCAGTCTGTTCTTTGGTTGAACCCTGAATACCAAAAGTGACTTCAGTATCAAATTTAAAGGATTGAGTTCTTCTAGTCTCTATTGACCTGTACTCTGAACTTTTTTAGGTATTTGCATTTTTTT